TTATTAATAACTGTTGTAATATGCTCAATAATAATAATAATTAATAGGTATATTTTAGGTATTGAAAAATCGGCACCCGGTGAGGCGGTTATGGGGGAATGTGAAAGGTTTTCAATAGCATTAGAAAGGACAGATTATGCAAGTTATGTACCTTAGATAAAATAAAAGATGTTTTAGTTTATCCTTATTTCATTTATATTATAAAAAATCTACCACATTAGACCTATGTTAAGAAAAACACTTCAATATTTCAGTTCTTTAATTTAATGTAGTCTAAAGATGTGAACATTATTATTAATTTACGTATATTATGCATATAATTATAGGAATATATATTTATAAACCTTCACCTAATTTTTAATTATGTTTCATTAAGTTGTAAACAGCCGGAGGCTTATTGAATAAAAGCCTTCGGGCACAGAAGTGTTTAATAACGGTTATAATGATATTAATTTACACATCGAATTCATAATTAATAATTTAGAAACAAAAAAATACACCCAAGTAGTTAAATATCACCTTATACCACTTTATTTTGCCAGCTAGCGCTTTATCAAATTCGCCTTAAAAAATATTCAAATAACTGTATTTGAATGAAATAACGTACGTCGGCACTTTGACCGCGCCGGCGTTCCATTTAGTCCAGCTTGAAATGGCGCCACCTTGTGGTTATATATTCCATTCATTGTACGCCGCGTAGCGGCGCTATACGATCTTTGTTTTTAGCAAACGTTTTCAAAATGGCGAGCGTGACAAACCGATGAGGAAACGTTTATAAAATTGTCATTTTAGAACGTTTATCCTTTACATATTTTTTTGGAATAGCGTAATATTTGTTCGTGTTGAGGTAAATATACATTTAAAATTATTGATAATTTTATTAAAAATAATGAATGTTCGTTTGAGATGGTACTGCTGGTGCCAGTTATGCTAGCATTGCAAGCAACGCTGGCTAGCCTAGCCGCAGGCCTTGTTCTAGGCAAGCTTGGCTAGCTAGGCCCTATAGTAAGCCTAGGCCTAAGCCTAGTCATTATGGATACAGTACAGTATATCAAAGACCTATTCTGCGGCTTTAGGCCTGCTAGTGTCACGCCTAACTTTCTTTTGTTGCCAGCTCCACCAATCAAAACCTCCACAGCCAGACCAAACTGTAGGGTGACCTAACTAGCTAGGCCTAGCCTAGCCTGCCTAACTAAAAAGTAGGCCTAGTAGTAGGCGCGGGGAATACCATACAGTAGTAGGCCTAGGCTACGGTAGTATACAGTATATCCTTCGCAATAAGCAGACATAAAAATCTGTCCACACATTTTGGAAAATAAGGGCCGATTTCCGCACAAATTTTGCCGAAAATTTGGCTTTTACCTACTCTTAAATATCACCAATGTATTAATTATTCATTAATTACGATTCTGAGTACCTGTTTCCTATTGATTTTCCACGCAAATTTGAGTTAATTTTTGAGGTATAGAATAGTCCGCGCATATAGCACCTCAGATTTGTGTAGTGTGTCCGTCTACGCCTGCCAATTCTCACAGATAATGTGCAAGTCTCGCGCATCAGCATCTAATTCTTACGCCTTATGCATGCCTATGTTGTATTTTCACGCATCATAAAAATTTTAAAAGATGGAATAAATTATGCTGATTATACCCTAAAATTCACAAAAATGAATTGAATTTGTCATTAAAATGTCAATACAGGCCAAAAAATTTCTGTTAACGAAGCTACTGTACTGTATACCGACCGACGACTGTAACCAGATGGCGCTACATACAATTTTTTTGTTTCGCGCATCAGGCGGCAACCATGTGCAGTGCAGCACCATTCATTTTGCCGTCTGGTCATCAATAGGCCTACTGTAATATTATTATACAGTTGAACTTGAAAGGTTGACTTTGCCTAAACTCAAATTAATTTCTCAGTCAATCTTACTTAATTATTTTTTCAATGCCATTTTGGATTTGACATACTGTAGGCAAGATCAAACTGTATTTGATATTATGAATATGCTACTGTACAGTAGGTCCTATGATGAATGTGGCTGATAATCTCTAAATAAAGGTACATCTGCCAACACATACAGTAAACATCCATTTTTTACAGTACATCTCACGCATACGTTGTGTTAACATAAAAATTATGTTTATAAAAGATAAAATGTATAAGCCGATGAAAAATGAAGTAAACTTGTTTATTAAAATGTGAACATACTGTACATTCCATATAAATTTCTTTTAATGAATCTATACCGGCCGACGACTGAAACTTAATCATTGAAAAATTAAGACACATCAATGTTGCTTTCATTACATTACACGAATTCAGATGTACAGTATGGGTACAGTACTATTAACGT